CAATGGGGCAGCTTCTTATTCTGATGGCTGGTTTTATTGGGAAAAGAAAGTGCAACTTAAGGCTCACTCTGTCACAGCCCTTTTAAAGGACACTTTTGTGGATGTGTATCATGAGCCATTATTCCTCCTGTTGGTTTAGGGGAAGATCCTACCTGTATTTGTTCAATCCATTCATTCTTTTATTCTTATAATTCTTCACTTATTAACCACAGTTGACAAGTGTGTTCTCTTGCAATACAATAAAGCATTTTCTGGCGGGAATTTGACAGACACAGGTTAAAATTTTTCATTGCACTATCATAATGGCCAATAAGTTTATATCATTCAGTATTAATTGCCCTATCATACAATGTAAATACTACAACAGTAGTTTCTATTTGTTGTGACAGGCACTGTAATGGCTCCCCGGAGGTTCACTAGGGGCCATTCCTCCCGTAGCTCCTAGCGTTAAGCGGGGGAACATCCTGTGCCTGGATTGTTTGATAGTTCATTCTTATATTTGAGTGGTCGGGCACAACCCGACCACTCTTTGGATTTGTTGCGATTAATTGAGTGGTCGGGCACAACCCGACCACTCTTTGGATTTGTTGCGATTAATCTTTCTTTCTTTCTTTCTTTCTTTCTTTCTTTCTTTTTTTTTCCGGACAATACTTCTCCGCGGGTTTTCTCTTAAACGGTATATGGTATGAACTTGTAACTTTCAATATATATCGACCCTCATCCGAAGTGGTGCATATTACTCTGACGTCATGATTACGTCATCAGGTGTCAAATTACAAGTGATTTTATCTGAAAAAGTGACCAATTACTTTCACCTATAACTCTTGAACTAAATAATCAATGATGTTTGTATTCTGTCATCAGATAGACCATTAATCGCTAAACAGTTTTTGTCGCGTACGTGAACTCGCTTGACCTTTACTTCCGGGTCTACCGGAAGGTCAAAGTTAGGTGAATTCAAAATGAAGACGTTAGCCTGAAATCAAAACAAAGCAACATTTCTTCCGAACGGTTCACGGTATGATCACAAAACCTTGTGTGAACTTGTACCGTGTTACGAAGATGTTATAAATTTTGTTACGTCATCATGACGTCATCAGGTATCAAATTACAAGCGATTTAAGGGCAAATTTTGACAAAATAGTTTGCGTTATATCTTTTGAACTAAATAGAGTATCGTGTTCGTTTTTTCGTGAGGTTGTAGACTATGCCGTGAGAAACATTTCGTGTTCCCGGACGCAAAACCGCTTGACCTTTACTTCCGGTGTTACCGGAAGTGCAATAAAAACTGAATATAACTCAAAAGCGGAAGCATTTTACTACAGACATATATATTATGAAAGTGTTTAGTGAGGAATGCAAGATGCAAAAAACAGTGTGATGACGTCATCATCCGAAAGGGCGCCCCCTATCGGCACATAAAATAGAGTTTCCCTTCTTTAATTATAAAACCATCTGTCCAAATTTTACCAAATCACCCCTTGACATTCTCTGATTAACCACAGATAACTTGGCAAGGTTTCAAATTCATGACGTCATCGAACCGGAAGTTGCCTTAAGGAGAATTTGAAAAAGATCATAGTTTTAATTTAATTCTATCATTTGATCCCTGTCATATCTTCGAAGTCCAAATAATGATATCCATTACAATGTTCACTTTTGGATCTCTAATGCTGTGACGTCATCAAACCGGAAGTTAGGTGTTATTAATACAAACAATTATATTTCCCATATTTTCATACGTTATTTTAACTTAACCATGAGAAATTATCCTCTCCGAACTTCATCAGTGTTCACTCACCATTTTTGACTGATGACGTCATCAAACCAGAAATAACTTTTTGTGCACATAGAATGTTTACTGAAATTTATTACACCGTTAAAGATACCTTTTTGAAACATTGATTGTGCTTGAAGGGATTTAATGTCCTGATCCTTTTTTCTACATAAACATATATTCTTAACTTAACTGGGCAGTGTATAATGAAAAGGCTGTCTGCCCGACCACTCTGCGTTTGTAACTAAACAAACGCGAAACTCTAGTCTTTCTTTTTTTTCTCTTTTTTTTCTGCACAGCACGTTTCCGCGGGTTTTCTCCTAAACGGTATATGATATGAACTTGTAACTTTTAACAGATATTGACCCTCATTCCGAATGGTGCATATTACACTGACGTCGTGATGATGTCATCGGGTGTCAAATTACAAGCGATTTTCGTTGAAAAAATGACAATCTTCTTTCATCTATAACTCTTCAACAAAATGATCAATTATGCTCCAATGTTGTAATCAGATAGACCATAAATTGATAAACATTTGTTGTCATGTACGTGAACTCGCTTGACCTTTACTTCTGGGTCTACCGGAAGGTCAAACTTAGGTGAATTCAAAATGAAGACATTAGCCTGAAATTGAAACAAAGCACAATTTCTTCCGAACTGTTTACGGTATGATCATAAAACCTAGTGTGAACTTGTACCATGTTACGAAGATGTTATAAATGTTGTTACGTCATCATGATGTCATCAGGTATCAAATTACAAGCGATTTGATTGCACAATTTGACAAAATACTTTGACCTATATCTGTTGAACTAAATAGAGTATCGTGTTCCTTTTTTCGTGAGGTTGTAGACGGTGCCTTGAGAAACAGTTTTTATTCCCGGGCACAAAACTGCTTGAAGTAAAGACTTCCGGTGTTACCGGAAGTGCAATAGAAACTGAATCTAACTCTAAAACGGAAGCATTTTACTACAGACAAATACATTATGGAAGTATTAAGTGAGGAATCCCAATCACAAAAACATAATTTTGACGTCATCCCACGAAAGGGCGCCCTCTAGCGGCACATCGAAAGCAGTTTAATCTTTTGATATGTTAAAACCCTCAACCAAATTTTTATTATATATTGCCCTATATCCCGCGAGCAACCACAAATAAATTTGCAAGGTTTCATAATCATGACGTCATCAGACCGGAAGTTACTGTAGGGAGAATTCAACAATGATCATGTCGTTTTAAATTCAAATCCATCATTTGATCCCTGTCTCATGACTTTGTTTTTTGCCCCCCCCCCCCAAAAAAATAACATCTGTTACACTTAATATTGACCTTTTGCTTCCAAATACTGTGACGTCATCGAACTGGCAGTTAGCTGTTATTATTAGATACACTTAATTTCCATATGTCCATGCGTTCTTTTTACTTAATGATAAACAAGTGTCCTCCCTTCCCTTTTTTGTCTGATGCCGCCATCAAACCGGAAATAACTTGTACGTGTACTTAACTGTTTACCGAAATTTATCATACCTTAAAAGACGAATTATTTTTGTACAAAACAATTGGTACTGGAAATGTTGAAGTTCTTGGTTCTTTTTTTTCTGACATAAACATATTCATAACTTAATTGGACAATGTCTAATGAAATGGTTTTGTCCACCCAACCACTCTGTGTTTGTAACAACAAACGCGAACCTCTAGTTTCATTCAGGATTTTAAATCGGGGTTTAATTGCCTTTTCACCTTTGATAATTTGTGTGGCCTGGTGTTGCCATTTCTGTACATGTTATGGCTAGTCATTATGTAACTGGGTTTTGTTTTACCCTTTGTATCAGGGCCTGGTGTGCCCTATGTATCAGGGACATTTATGTGCCCTAGGTATCAGGGTCTGGTGTGCCCTAATTGTGACAGGGCCTGGTGTGCCCTAATTGTGACAGGGTCTGGTGCCCCATGTACCAGGGTTTGGTATGCCCTAATTATCAAGGTATGGTGTGACCTATATACGGTGGGTCCCGTGTGCCCTATTCATGGCTGGGTCTGGTAAACCCAGGGGGTCTAGTGTACCCCAATATATTGTATTTATTTGCCCATGGTATCTGGCAAATGCAAAATGTTGTGTTGAACAAAGAAGAGCTGTGGAATAATTACAAACAACTTTTGTGTGTTGTACAGTCTGAGAATAAATTTTACATAATTGTGTGTCAGTCGCCCTTTTTGTTCACAATTAGACCATTCGAGAGTGCATGGTTTTAAAGTAGGGAAAATGTAGGGGACCATGCCTAAGCAAGGGCGACCTCATTAGTCCTTTCCAATATCATTATGTAGATGACGTAACTGATTTGCACTTTTCTACATGAAACATTATTTCGTTGATGAATTTTGTGCTTCCGCACAAGGACGGTGTAGGTTTCTCTTCAATAATAACACGAGAAGCTAGTCCTTAGGTGGATCTCTCACAATTTAATTCGGGATTATTATTGTATAATTCTATACTTTACCATGTAAATATTTTATACATGTAATTCCAAGATTATTGCTTTTAGTTTCATTGTCTGGTTGAACATTGGTCGAGGTTCGAACCTATGTACCGCGGCATATGTGAGCCCTATAAATAAATATATAATAGGCGTATAAATATTTAGACGAGTGATTTGGCAGCTACTCTCCTCGGTCTTTTTTGGAAGATTCTTTAACTAAGCACATCCCAGCCACATTTCTGTGTCATTTTCCATCAATTTTGTGCGCCAGCATGGCCTTGCCATGACATCCATGTGTCCTGCGGGGTAAAGCGTTCCCATAAGAAACCCCCAGTGAGTATATTTTAGTGTCATTTGTAGGGATTATGACAGAGGGTGAAGTTTGCTTAACGTAAAAGTCTCTCACGTGTTTGTGACATGCTGCACGGCCAGCGCGTGTAGTACAGTTTCCATGTATTATGTACAGTGTGTATTGTATACAGTCGCAGGTGGGCATTTCTTTACCGAGCTGTATTATGTTTTGCTTAGGCAATGGGGGTTTCTCATTCTGGTACAACTTGGAGTAAATAAAAGTGCCAAGAGTCCAGTAACTGTTAACTAAAGTCAGCTTCTCAGAGTGACCTTCATTTATGGCTCTGCTGTTCATCCTTTTAATATTCTGCCCTTGCCTGGTGCTCGTCCTTTTTAACTAGAGGGCCGGCCTCCTTGTTGCCGTCCCACTACAATAAAATAATATAATAACATACCACTACTCAGTACAGGATCCGTGGTTGGAATGGGTACCCAGTGACTATCCTCAGTGATGATAACAGGCTGCACTTTGACGATTGGGCTCTGATGATTATCATCCCTGCTCGCTCCATAAGTACTATAAGTAGGAACCCGTAAAGGCAATTGTCCATCATCTTTGTGCATGCTCTGATGCATACTGGATGGTTCTCGTAAATCCCAGGCCACAATGGCACCCTCATCCTACATAAAAAATACATTAAAAAATCAATAAATGTGATAGTTAAAAACCTGACCATATTAAAGGTAATGTACAATATTTGCAAACATCAAAAAACAAAACTTCCAAATTATTATGAAATACCTAACTTCACTCTAAGTGAAAAATAGTCTCAAGCGTCCTGTGAAATCAAGGCACTTGGTGTGCTGTCATTTCCAAGAAAAGTCAAATTTTTGTATCAATTGGGAAAAAAACTTCCAAATTCTGCCCACAATTTACCAATTTACAAAATTTTGTTTGCAATTGGTTACACATCTGTGAACGGGTGCAAGCCAGCTAGTCAGGTTCCCTTACCCGATGTCTTTAAATTGCTCTGATTCATCTGAAGCAGGGTCAGGGAACCAGATTACAAGACCACCATTTTTTCTCTAGGTTTTTCTAGCATTAATGACCACAAAACTTTTAAACAGCTCAGTGTAATAATGTATGTTATATAACTGACATACAGATCCTTGTCATTTGATTGGTGGAACTCACATCACGCTCCAATTCATGCTGGGGCTCAAAAAGTCCCATTCGCCTATGGGAATGGGAATTACTATTCAACAGTTTGGATCGTTCTTGTTCCATGAAGCGTTGCGCGTAGCTCATATTGTTCCAAAGAGCCAGTTCTACAGAGTTGGGTTCAAACGTTTTCATGAAGGGGTGGTTTGAAAGAGAGAAACACATTTTCCACCAATTTTGTATTGAAATAAAAGTTCAAATATATCAAATGTATGTCAGTTATATAAATAAATAAGTAAAATGGTACATTCTTTACATCACCCCAACACAAATTCATCTTATAAAAAAAATAAAATGGTGATTTGTGCTTCGTAATAATTAGCTTTTGCAGTGTCCAAAAGTAACATTGGGGAAATGGTCCCCTTTATTTCTAATTTGTGCAAACAATGTGATGTGCACATTGTAAAATATCAATTAACATGTTTTAAACTACTTAAAACCGAGAAATTAAGTTACCACTAAAAAGTTAAGACGAAACTGCACGTTACAGGCTTTGGCCCACGGCCTATTAATGAAGGCTGCGATCTGTGAGAAGCACACCCTCGTGAGATTGGCAACATTGAATCATCACCAGAGGCGCTGCACAAGTCAGGGCATGACCTGCAATGGATGCAGTGATGACTGTGCCAGTAAAAGAAAAAAAGATTAATGTCACCACCCTCCGTTTCCGCAGCGCAGCCCGATCCCCTTTACTATCTGAGCAGAGGCCAGGAGTGAGGCAGAAAAGGCTGAATGGGGCCACGTACGAATTTGCAGTGGAAATCTTTGTTGGAAATTCCCAGTGTTCTGGCCTGGTAGGAAGTTCCTGCTGTGTACCCTTCAGGTCAGGTCATGTTCCCCATGCTGATTATGTATGAAAGTCAACTAAATCTCATAAACATCTCCCCAAGGGGAATACGCGACGGACGCAATACTATGTTGGCCCGATGGTATTGATGTCAGCCTTAAAGTCTCTACAATGAGCTCCCAAGAAATAGACAGGTGGAGATGGTCATGAGTCAGGTAAGTCACTTATGGTAGTCAACAAAATAACTGAAGCCAAATCGGAGTCATAGCCTATGTGGCGTGGTACGCAGAAAATGTTGATAGCACTGCCACACAAACGCACCACGGCAAAACTTCAAGAGGTATGCAGCTGAGAAAAACAAATAACGGTTTGTTCTTCGCCTACTTTCTAAGATTGAGCATCTGAGCAGTCATCACCGACCAATATGGATGTAAACATCAATATCCCCAGCAAAAAGATTTTTGTCCATTAGAAGGTGGGACAGGAGAAGCAACTCATCAAGCATGTTACCCCAGCAGGCTGAGGCCGTTAGGGTCTGCACTTCCGTAAACTAACAGAGTACCGAGTGCAGACAGTGCAAATAGCGGTCAACACGTCCGGTCAACACATCATGTCTGAAGATCTGCCGGCCTGCAGACAGAGCTGATAGCATAGCTAGATCGACTGAAAAGCCTGCAGGAAATCAGTCCTCGAGATCGAGTCCTCGTCCCGGTGGGATTGGTCAGAAGAGCCATCAGAGTCTGAAAAAGAATGGCGTGATTGGCGATCAGCTTCTTCTTCTTCTTCTTCTTCTTTGAAGAACGGCCCCAGGGGGTGTCCAAAGAAATGTCGGAAGACACATGGGGCACTGGGACCCCTGAACAACAGAAAAAATTCCGATGACAAGAATGGTCCCTCAGAGCAAGATAGAACGGACCCCAACGGGCAGGGTTACCCCCGGGCGACCTGCTCCATGTCGCTAATAGCATACCCGGCCAACAGAGGGCGCTATTGTATAAAACTCTTAGTGGAAAATACCTGCTGGTCTAGGGAATATGCATAAGTAGATTGCTCTACTGGTAAGTTGAGTGAATTACACTGAGGTGTATAAACCTGTGTTCTTAGGGTCAACAAATGCATTAAAACCATGTTTACAATGATTATGTATATATTTTATGCACATTATGCATATTAGCAATCGCTATTATCAAAAATAATTAACATATCTATGTATTTTCTCCACAGGAATTTGTCCAATCGTATCCAACGAGGCATCTAAACTCATGTTTTTAGGGTCAACTAATTCATTAAAGCCATTTCACAAATGATAATGGTTTGTAATAGATTAGGGGGATTTTTTTCCCCCAGACAATGCAACCATCCCAATAAGTTCACCCTTGCCCAATGTCCCTAGGGGACCCCATAAAAGCACGTCTTTGTCTTTCTTTTTTAACTAAATGAAGATTGCAGATTATCATTTTTACTTTTGCCAAACTTAATGTTTGTCTGTAAGTTTTATGAACACGTCTTCGGCATAGCAGTTCTTTCCCCCTAATTCAGATTAAAATAGGGTTTGAGAGTGATTCTTGATGTAAGGCATCATTTATGTCCAAACAAAATTGAATCTGACGGGGAAATGGTGAACTTTAGGGTGGTAATTAAAAAAGGCATGGAAAACCTATAAAGGTAGGAAATGTTTGAGATGTAATTTATTATTTGTTGAAAAAATAATTGTCTTTTTTGTGGTGGGTGTCTAACTATACCCCAAACACAAATCAGTGCAAGGCCCCAGGTTACAATGCAGTGTGCGAAACAATCCTTTGATCAGACAGGGTTAAGAACATTGATTCTATTGTCCAAAAAAGTTTAATCTGGCATGAACAAGCTTTTGTATGTCGGTTAACTTGTGTGGTGAATAAATGTCCGTTCTGCAGTGCAGGCTAATTGTGTGTCTCCTAACAATAGATCAAGATATTTAGGAAACACTGTATTTAAAATAATGATTACAGCTTTCAAAATAATGATTACAGCTAATCTACGTATTGTGGCATAAAATATATGTCGTTTTTCAGTATGTAGGTAGCTTCAATTAATCAGTGACCCTGCAAATATGGGTCTGGTTTGGCACCTCATTTGATAGTATTGAGCAAAGTCATGTGCAGATATTGATATTTCATATTTCTAATGACTGATGCTAATTTGCATATTATGCAGAATAAAACATTTAAGTGTGTTGCATATTAGTTTAGTAGACGGAATGTAAACAAGAAATGATTAGGGCGCCCTCTGGCGATCCCTTTGTTGTTGCTAGAAAAGTCTGAATAAAGAGTCGCACTGGTGTTTCTTGTACCCTCCAAATTACTGTTCTCCCTACGTCTTTTTTGCCTGCGCCGGGTCACGCAACATGGTGGCAGTAGTAGTAGAACTTGGTGCTTCGATTAATTGATAAACTGGACTATAAAGCAGTTGGAACGCCCCAGAATCGGCAACTTTTCGTCCGGTCTGGAAACCTGCCGGCGCCGTTGTGTGTACAACACTGTAACGGTACGTACGTAGCAAATGCACATTCGACATTTGATATTCACGCATGCACACATGTCTGCATAGACTTTCGCATGGACTTTCTCGAAATTTCCAAACAATATCCTTGTTGAAATGGCTACCGCAGCACCAGTTAGTGGCATCAAGCCACCTCAACTACCAGATTTTGGTAATGTTAAGCATCTTTCTGAGAGTTGGAAACTGTTTAAGCAGAAATGGGAGAACTATGCTGTGGTCACCAAACTTGCCACACATGATCGAGCATATCAAGTGGCTCTATTGCGGCACACACTTGCTGATGAAGGACTGAAGATTTACAATGGTTTCCAATTTGAAACTGAGGAAAACACACGCACCACAAGTGAAATCCTCACCAAGTTTGACTCTTTCGCGGTTGGTGAAGTCAACGATACTTATGAACGGTTTCTTTTCAATAGGAAAGACCAGAAGGAGGGTGTCTGACTGTCCAGCCTGGGGCAAAACATGTTCCAACTGCAAAGGCAAAAATCACAGTGCATGGTGTACGTCAGGATACAGTTTTTCTCACCGACTCTGATGATGAGTATGATGCATATCTTGCAAACGTGAGCACCATGAGACAGAAAGCTCTGACAGCTAAGCTGGCTGTAAATGGCTGTCATATTTGTTTCCAAGTGGATACTGGTGCTGATGTGAACACTATCTGTCAGCGATTTGTTCGTCGTGAACTAGTGCGACCCACTAAAGTGAGACTGGTAATGTGGAATGGCACCAAAGTCAAACCCCTTGGGGAGGCAGAGATCCCGGTCACGAATGTTCGCACCGGTAAACAGCATAGTACTGTCTTCATTGTAGTGCTAAACCACCTACACTGCTTGCTTGGCCTGAAAATGAGGACAGGTTCATTGCCGGCATGACAGCCCAGACAAACCAAACCCTGGGTGATCTGGGAGAAGCTACTCTTCATGTGAACCCTGAAGTGAAACCACGCGCACTACCTAGTCGTAAAGTGCCCATGGCTCTAAAAGGGGATCATAGTTGACATCATAGTTGCTGGGTGTGGCTCTACGAAAGCTGATGCCATCAAAGACAATAATAAGAAACTTGCCAAGTTGTTCCAGAGATGCCAGGAACGACACATCATCCTGAATGAGGGTAAGAAAGAAGTCGGAA